CTTTATCTGTACATTATATAGCCTATTTATAAGCCTATAGGTTTCTATAGGTTTATTTTTGTTTTATTCATATATTCCATCTTTTACTCTTTAAGACTTCATAATCATTTACTTATTGTGTAGTTAAGTCCGCTTCCCACCATATTGTTCTACTATGTACGCTTAATTAAGACTTAATTAAGAATTGTTTAATCTATAACACCACTATCTCTATATTTGACCGCTTTGTTCTCTGTCGGAATTCTCTTTATATATTACCGCATAAACTATTAGATAATTGGCCTATAATCCGTCTACACCTCTATTGTATTGTTTATATTGTACAGTACAGAGAACTTGTAACAGCCAACTTGTATATTCAGTAAAGCTGATGAAGGCCAGAGGACTGGTCGAAAATTTCTTTCGAAAATAAATGAAGTGTTCTACAGTCTACATGCCTTGTTGTCATAATTTTTTGTTTCAACGACTTATATATAATTTGAAGAACACACGTGGATTTACAATGATATATATATATATATAATATACTTACATATATTATATATATATATATATTAGGTAAAATATATATATATATATATTACCTAATTAGGTAATTTTATCTGAAGAGTGTTGCACCATGTACGTGTAGCACGAAACTAAATAGTAATAAATGCCTAATCAAACCTAATGTTGAACCGCTTATTTTTGTTTTAATTCGCTCTGGTTTAATTACCATTGAGCATCGGGGAGAGCTGCGCCCCCCCCCCCCCCAATCATTCGTCGGCTAGAAAGAAAAATTGTATGTATTTTCTACATATTAGTAGACTCCAATATCGATTAAATAAGCTTTGAAACCCTTAAAATTGTAACAATTTAAAAACAGCTGTCTAAACCTTTTAATCGTAGCTCGACCACATCCACTTTGCTTTCGTCAGGAAAGTCTGACTCCTCGTCGGAGGCATCGGAAATCCCAGCTGGGGACCTCGGCCCCCCGTCGGGCAAATCCTGGCGCCAACCCTGACGAACAGCCGACGCTAAAGGCACTGAGGGCGTACCATTTTTAACCTATCAATCAAAACTGGTCAACTTCTTGCAGACTGGTTAAAAGCCAACGTTGTGCCAGTGTTCAAAAAAGGCGACAAACCCCAGGTGGAGTGCTATCAGCCCACATCGCTTTTGAGTGTGTCCAGCAAGATCCTTGAGAGATTAATTTTTAATTCTATTTTCCCAAGTTTAATCGTCATCCATCATCTGCAACATGGTTTTATTAAAGTCCGTTCGACTACTACAAAGTTGCTTACTGATTTTGAAAAGGTTTTAGACAGTGCTGGCCAAGTCGACATTGCCTACCTTGATTTTACAAAAGCTTTTGACAGTGTTTCTCACCACTTCCTTTTGCACAAAATTAAATCACATGGTATTAACTCTAAACTCCACAATTGGTTTACTGCTTATCTTTCAGATAGAAAACAACGAGTTGTTGTCGAAGGGGCACACACTGACTAGTTACCTGTTACCTCGGGTGCGCCACAAGGATTAAAACTCGGTCTCGATTTCAAGGTCTTTAAATGTATCAAAGATGAGGGTGATTGCAGACTGCATCAAAAATGACATAAAGTCCGTGGTCAGATGGAGTCAAGTTTGGGATCTCTCCTTCAGTCCTGCCAATTGTCGGATCATTAAAATTAATAGATCTGGGAAAGTTGTTAAGTTTTCTTACTGCATGAATGGCCTGACACTTGGCAGGGCTAGTGTAATTAGGGAACTTGGAGTCGACATCTCGACAGATCTTAAATGGGACAATCATGTCCCTCGCCTCTTTACCTTCTCTTAGTAATTCTGACCACCTCAAACTCGTTGACAAACATTGCGAAACTGAGACTTACAGAAGATTCTACTTCATTCCTATTGCTCACATGTGTAACCAACTTCCTCACTCTATACGTTCAAACTCGACAATATCTGGTTTTAAGCAAGCCTTACGCATATTTTATGAGCTTCTGTTTGTCAACGAGTTTGACCCTGCTAGCACTTGTACTTAGGATACTAAATGTTTTTGTCATTTATGTAGAACTGTGTAACTTTTTTTCTTTTTTCTTTTCGACTTATATTATTACGTATTTGCCGTTGGGTTTTGTGCATTTGGAGAGCGTGTCGTGTTAGAGGTGCTCGCACCTGTTGATACGCTCTCTCACCTGTCTCTTATACACATCTAGATGTGTATAAGAGACAGCCCATACGTATATATATATCTGTACTGATGCCAGTGTAAAGCCGAATAAAATAAAATAATATATATATATATATACATACATACTCACATACATATGCATATACACACATGCATAGAAGTGTCCTGCATAAGTGATCAATACATCAACATAAGCCTTACCAAAACGACTTCAGCAATTTTTTTTATATATCTTCAAGTATTTAAATACTGTAATAGCAAGAATTGAATCAATAAATAAAAATGGCCCCTAATTAAAAAATTCAATAAAAAAAAAAATTTAAATGTGTAAATTACCCTCTAAATTTATAAAATAAGTTTTTTTTTTTCTTTTGAAATCAGGATCAATTTATGTGATTTTCATTTTTTGAAAGTTTTGTTTCATAATATACCACATTATTTCTTGCGTTTCTTTTTCGTTTTCTTGAGCGAATTTGAAGATAGAGTGGTACATTTACTGTTTGTCCTCTTTTTCCCTTGTTTAAGACTGGGATCTTCACTCCCAGCTTATTCATTTTCACTTGTTTGTGCCAAGAATGGTGTTATCTTCTGTCGAGTGTCTTTTGTTTCTCTTTTGTTTTTATGTGTTTTGTTCACTTTTTTTGCTGTTTGCGATGCTCTTGTTGTTTTCTATTTCCGTTTCTCCTTCGCTACTCTCTGAATTTACCCAACAAATATCACTATCTAGACTTGTATTGGTTTCTTTCTCTGATTCATGTGGGTCCAGTTCACCCTCTCGACGTCCCATTTTTTGTGCCCCTGTTTTCCACAATTATGGCACAGCACCTAATTAGCTGTCTGCAATTGCTTGCATCGTGACCCGCTTTTTTAACAGTTACTACACTTTCTTATATCATTGAACTGACTATTATGAAACAAGCGAGCTTTAAAGCCATTGACCACAATTAATCTGGCCAAAAAGCAAAGGTGCTTTTGGCTTTTCTATAAACTGAAGTCTGTTTCCATTTAGAACACTGGTTAGTTTTCCTCTTATTCTCAATTTCGCCTAATGATCTCGCTTTTGCATTTTCCACCAAGCCTTTTGATCACATTCTCAATTTTACAATCCGCAACAGATAGAGGAGCATCCTTAATTAGGACACGTACTGTATCTTTATCATTTTCAATAAAAGTATTTTTATCGTAGATACTCACATTTCGTCCCCTTAGATTGAGACCCGCTGATATAACAGCTAGGGCCTACTCTATCAGCGTGCATATGCAGATAGAGCCTCCATAAGTTTCTAATTATCTGTATGCCAAGTATCGATAAAGGGTCAATAAACTTACATAATGAGTCAAAAACTTCTTCTGTTCCAAAATTCTTGTCTCTTTCCTTACTTCATCATTCTTCATGAATACAGGTTTTAATATTTATACATTAGTTTAGTTGATTTATGCCATTGATGTTACAATTACCTTATTTATTGTTTAATTTTACAAAATTCACAAAATTTACAGTAGTCATTTTGAAAAGAAGACCCCCACCTCTTTACTTTGCAATAGTAGTCTCGAAAAGAAGCCATCTCGAAAAGTAGCCCATTTCGAAAAGAAGCCCATCTCGAAAAGAAGTCAATCCAAAGTTCGCAAAAAAAAAAAAAAAAAAAAAATCAAAAAAAAATCGAGGTTTTACGGGAAATCTCTAATTAAAACTGAAATATCTCTATTAATAGAGATATCTTAGTCTTAAATAGAGATATCTCTATTAATAGAGATTTCTCTAAGAAAAGTATGTTAATTGTCCGTCAGGTTTAAATGTGTGGGTTGTTTTCTTGTATAGGCTTTTTCTTTAATAATATAATCCTGGCTCTATTAGTACTGTACTATGGAACATCAAATTTAGTTTCTTAATCAGGCCTTGAATATTTATTTTTTATTTTTATTTATTTGTTCTTTATAATGGGTTTTCTCTTATATTTTCCCTATCTTTTTGCACTGTTTTTTTCTGGCCGTCACTTTGGTCACTTCCCATGCCTAGATATTTCCGTGCTTTGCCGAAGCATAGACCAGATATCAAGGATGTGACTCCTAATATGTATTGTCAATCTATGGTGGGATGTGCGTGTGAGGACCAATTTAAGTGATTTAATGTCAAACAGTCTACAACGGATATTTCAAAAACCGGTCAGTTGATGTGAATGAAACTTACGGGAAAGCTTAATCAAGTTACAAGGGAAAAATGTTTATGTGTTAGTGACGATCCAGTAAAGAGTGTAAATTTGAGGGTCTTTTCAATGTTTGAGGCCCCAGACCTAAATATCTCTTTAAAAAAGAAACCAATGGTTTAAATGAAACATTCTATAGTACTTTGTAGAGTTCTTGTAAAAATAATGATTAAATTTTTGTGACGATCTGCAGTATGGTGTGGATCTGAGGAACATTTAAAGGAAAACGTCCCAGACCACTGATTTTGAACACTGAAAAAATCAAAGGTGAAACCCTTGTATAACAGTTTGTCAAGGTCGAGTAAAGAAATGATTAAATTTTTGTGACGATCCGGAGTAGGGTGTAGATCTGAGGATCATTACAGTATTTAATCGCAAAACTATTTTATTTTTTTCTAGAGAATTTGGATGACAGTCGCTTGACTCACTCCAAAATTATTATAGAGTATGACATTATCACCGTGTCCTAAACATCGATGAGTCCAGGTGGCTAAATTTATAAATAAAACAATAAAAGCGCTTGATGATAATTTGAAATGGCAATGGCTTAATATAATTGTGATTTACATATTATAGTTGAAAGCTTTAAAATACAAAATAAATGCAAAGACAACAACAGCTGGTTCGAACGAGCGAAACTTTAAGTCCATTACCGATTACAAAACAATATAACGGCAAACCAAAATTTGAGAAATACTAATGAGGAACGACAAAATTTGAGGGATCCAACCAAAAATGTAAAGCTCGTACAAATTGCCTGGCTTATTAAGCCCGTAAAGAATCATGTTAACAACATAGGCTTTTGCCTCATTTGTGAAGGAAACCATTCGAACAGTTATAGATCACTTTCTCTTTGAAGGTTCGAATTTAAAACTAATCAGAGATTTAATATTCTCTTAATAGGAAAGAGATCTACGTATAACCGTGGTTTAGACACTCTCTGGACTAACTTCATTTTTGGATCTAACGATTTTAAACATCATTTTGGATGGATTGTATGAGTGATGCAAATTTTTCATTCTACAGATCTTTGATAAACATTGTAAAAATATCTTAACAAGCTTGGAATTTGAGATTAGATATCTATAAGAAAATAAAAACTATGAGTACCATATTTATTTACCTTATTATTATTGTTTATTATAATTTATTTATTATTTATTATTTATTATTATTATTATTATTATCATCATCATCATCATTATTTACTGTTGATTTTTTGTCATTTGGATGCAACATCATTTAGGGTGTGTGCCGCTGTAATAAAAGAAAAAAAAAAAGAAAAAAAAAACTAGATGAAATAAGATGGTTATTCTTCCATGAATAAATAAAGTGCAAGAAACACGAACACATTATATAATATCATATGAAAAACAATGACTGACAGCGGCCTATATTATTATTAATCACCGTGTCCTAAATATGGATAAGTCCAGGTGGTCGAATTTATCAATGGAAGCAATAAAAGAACTTAATGATAATTCAAAATGGCAAGGGCCTAATAAAATTAAGCAATGTCTATATCTGTGATTTACATAATAATGTACACGTATCAAACCAGATTGTCGAAAATACAAAAAAGGCAATTGCCGTGCTTTAAGTAATTTTAGAGCGATTGTGTTGAACCCATGTGTAGCAATTATGGATTTGCCCGACAAGGAGTGGGGGATGGTGGGGGGGGGGCAATGCCCAACACGGTAGGGAAGATCTCCCCAACGAGAGCCAAGTGGGAGTGGTCGAGTGTCACATCTCGAAAGTGGACAATTTAGAGGTTTCAAAGGCTTATTTAATCGATTTAGAGTCTACTAATATGTACAAAATACCTATTCATATTTGTAATATTTTTTCTCTCCGAGAAACAATGGTTTTTCTTCCCGACGGGACTAGCTTTCGCAGACAGGGAGGGGGGGGGGGGGTGCGACCGCGCCGTCTACACCCCCTGCATCCGCCTCAGCACGGTATATCGAAAATGGAAATTAGAGTATGACTATATTTTTGTGGTTGAACATTATAAATACCTAGAAAGGTTTATATCCAGATCTATTGATGACACAACACATTGATAAAGTGACTAAAAAAGGAAAACGAATTATATTTTGCATTAAATACATTTTTGCTGAACAGGAAGACTTCAATAGGATTTGCTATAGAGATCTTCTTTGGAAAACCATAGGACTTCCGACTATAAATTATTCAGCAGGTTCGTCTATTGGAAAATTTAAGAACCCTCCCCACTAGTACTTAATCACCTGTACTTAATTGCAAGACTATTTTAAAGGAAACTTTATGACGAACTTTGATGGCTGTCGGTTGACTGACTCCAAAAAATATTATAGTATCATATTATCACCGTGTCCTAAATATAGATGAGTTCAGATGGCCAATAGAGTAAATGTGATACCATATAATAGACTTAATAAATTTATTATAACGGGTTCTGTGAAATACATAATAATAAATAAAACATGTGTTATTATGCACTGGGTACGAAATGCCTTGCATTTCCTGTTGATTGACTTTTGAATTAGGGTTTCGAGTGAATACCAGGTGAGTCTGCATGCTAGGATGATTTTTATTAAGTTATTTTTTAGTTTATTAATCAGGGTAAGATTTAGAGATGTATGAAAGAGGGTGGGGGCAAAAGTGGGTCTGATCGACACCACAAATCACTTAGGGGAACCCACATTTTTTTTTTCTTTTTCTTTTTTTTTTTTTTTTGCACGCCTGAAATGACGTCTGAGACGTTTTTCCCCCTTTTTCTTTGTTTTTTTTTTCTTTTTTACTTTCCAAAATGGGGGCCCCCGGCCGGCCCTGCCAATGTTAATAGTAGACAGACCTTGTATGGGCAGATCTGTAAGGTGATGTATACTAGAGCAATAAGTATCAGGGGAATCAACTTATGAATGAGGTTTAATGTTAAAATGAGGTGCCTTTCAACAGGGTCAAGCTAAGGTCATGCTCAGAAACAGTTTCTTTACCTAGAATAAATACTGTAATACTGTAATTATGATGGTGGTGATGACGACGACGACGACGACGATGATGATGATGATGATGATGATGATGATGATGATGGTGATGAGTATCACGATGGTGATGCCGATGATAATTATGTTGATGACAACTAAGTCGATGACGACGGATGGGTAATGATGCTGACATAGGCGCTAATATGGCAAGCCGTTTTATCATTTACCTCTGAATTGCAGTTAAGTCGAATGCATTACAGTTAACTGTAATTCAATTACAGTTAACTGTAATACATTCGACTTAACTGCAAAGTGTAATGAATTACAGTTAACTCTAATTCAATTACAGTTAACTCGAATTCAATTGCAGTTAACTGCAATTAAAATTTTGTTTTTGAGTTTAGTGTAATTTATTTAAAGTTAACTGCAAATCTATTTCAATTATGTCTATTTCGGCTTAATTCGAAAACATTTGCAGTTAATTTGAATGCATTTCAAGTTAACTGCAAATCATTCCAGTTAACTGTAATGCAATTCAAGTTAACTGCAATTCAGAGGTTGGTTGTAATTAGCGTTAAGTGAATACGATTGGTTGTTTGCGTTTACGTAATATCAGTGCTATATGATTGGTCAGCCACAGTCACATCTAGATGTGTATAAGAGACAGATACTGTGTTGTGTAAAATTAGGTGTACGGTTGTATATTGACAGTGGTACGTGATAAATGGGTATCATTTAATTAAAGGTTCACATTGTTCTTTTCTTAAGCATAATAATAAGGTCTCTTGTTGGCCGTTTATGTATTTCTTATATTTTAAGATTGACCTTTTTCACATTTCTTCTTGGAATTAATTTTAAAACAACTGTTCTTCACAGTTATTTTGTTGACATAATTTTCACTACATTTTTCCCTTAAGTCATTGCACTTAGTCAACGCACCTATTCGTGGAATTAATTAAGTGAAGGTACAATTATTACCGTAATTTATAACAAATGTATATACTTCTCCAGTACCTTTCCCAGTGTTAAACTAGACTACACCAACCATGAAGACCCTTCTTGTAATCTGTGCCTTAGCAGCATTTTTCTTGAGCAGCGGTGAGTAAACAAATGCAATTTTTTTCAGTTACAAATTAAACATAATTTGTTGCTAACATTGAGGTGTTATCTTAGTGTATTTGGCATATCAGAACGATATTTTTCTTTTGTTTTCTTTCACTGAAGGCCCATCACCGTTCTCGATTTATATTACTAGTATCACTTTGTATAAGTGTTGAACTTCAAACGGACGGAATTGTTATCCAAATGCCGTCACAAAAAGAAGTTCTTGCTTAACCATTCTGTGAAGTAAAATATTCTGTCACGGCTCCGAATCCTCACCACCTTACTGATACCACTCCACTCTTCTCATTCAGCACCTTGATGATCGCACATAGCGTGAAACTGAAGTAGTGCAAACTTATTTATAAACTTTCTGCCTGTTTTTGTCCAATATATACACATGAAAAAACCACTCAACTGACAATTTTTTTCAAAATGCATTTTTTTTTTAGCGTTTTGCACTCTTGAAGACATAAACACCTTGTGATGTATGTATTTAGATTTTTTGAAATTGTAATGGAAAATATGAAATTTAAAAACTAAAAAAACCACTTAACTGCAAGTCTGTGTTACTTTTGTCAGCAAAGACGCACTCAACTGCAAATGTTATGAAAAAAGGTGTGAAGATCACATTTTTATACTAAGAGTATTATTGCTTGTAGACAAGCGGAAAATAAAAAAAAACATACCTTGCTTTTATGGACTTTAGGAAGACTTTTGACACCGTTTGGAGAGAAGGTCCAATTTTATTCACCATATACATTAATGAGCTCAATAAGATTATTAAGGAAAGAGGTTTAGGTATAAATATTTTTGATGTTAAAAACTGGGCAGACGATACTATTATAATTGGAGATAGTGAGCAAGATTTAGAATTACTTTTGAATGCGGCAAATGATTTTGCTACAAAATGGGAAATGATTTTCAATTTTGATAAGTCCAATGTCATTGTAACTGGGCAACGCTTTAATATTATAGGAAATGGCCAATTGGTAATAATTTCATTAATGAAGCTAATAATTATAAATATTTGGGAATGTTTTTATCTAGAAAAATAAAAGATACCTGTCACATAGATGAAATAGTTAAAAAGGGAAATAGAGTAATATCGTATATAAAATGGACAGGAAGATTTTAACAGAATATATTATGGGGATATTCTTTGGAAAGCTATTGGAATACCAATTATAAATTATGCAAGCAGTATATGTTTTTGCAATAACAAAACATCTATTGACAAAATTGAAAATTTACAATACCAAAATGGCCAGATACCTATTAAAAGCACCCAGATATGTCGCAAAGGAAGCCTTATATGGTGAACTTGGCTGGCAAACAATTGAATCTATTCAATCAGAAAGATTATTAACGTACTTTTATAGACTAAAAAATATGGAAGAACACCGCTGGCCAAGATTATTATTATTTAGGGCTCTCTTTACGCTTAAAGAAAAACTGAGTTGGAAATGGCTTCCAAATATTGAATCAATTTTAAATAAATTTGATCTACATGTGTTCTTTAAAATTGATTATTGTATAAAATGGCTTAATAGCTTCAAAGATAACATAAGTTGGTATAACAATGCTTTAATTAAATCATCCTTAAAACATAAGATACAAAAGTGAACCTAAAATGGAAAAGTATTTATTAGAAAAGTGTAACTTTCATGCTTCAAGTTTAAAATTTAAAGCTCGTTCTAACTCACTACCTCTTGAAGGAAGAAATGAATCATGGTCACCTCACAAGTTAGGCTTATGCTTATTATGTGACTGCGTGACAAAGGAAACCAGCAATCATTTTGTATTTGATTGTACCAGATTAAAGAACATTAGAACTTTAATATTTGACCAACTTAAAGAGGAGTTATACAAAAAGGATTTACATATATTTTGGGAATTATTCACATCAAGCTCCCTTGAACTATAAATACCATCTTTTGTTTGATGATTTAGAAATCCAGTACGAATATCAAATTTTAACAACAAATTGTATAAACCTTATTAATTATACTATTGCGAGTAAAGATAATCATTGTAAATTACTTTTAACGATGGCATGGAAAGAACGAAATGATATATATATATATATAATACTTTTCTTTTGCAAGACTAATATGTCTGGTTTTAATGTTATTGAATTAAGTTTACAATATTTACTCTGTTATATGTATATATGTATATGTATGTGTTTGTGTATGTATGTGTATATGTATGTATGTATGTGTGAATATGTGTGTGGGAGGGGGTAGTGGCTATTGGCACTGCCGCATTGCCGATTTGGCATTGCCCCAGTGCCAAAAAAAGCTGCTGTTTTCTATCAGCACTGCCGCAGTGCCAAAAAGCTGCCGTTTTCTATCGGCCCTGCCGCATGCCAAAAAGTTGCTGTTTTCTATCGGCACTGTCACAGTGCGAAAAGCTGCTGTTAATTAATCGAATCGATGTTTTTATCGATAGATGACATTGGTGTAATTCATAATTCATAAATTTATTTCACTATTTCACTCAAAACGTAATGAGACTGGTTAGGCAAAAACATGTCCCTGTACAAGATGCCTACCAGAGAAACAATGATAATGTTAATGGCAAAGACATAATAATAACAATAATAATAATAATAATAACAATAATAATAATAATAATAATAAATAAATAAACAAATAAATAATAATAAAAAGTAAATGATAATAATAATAATAATGAAGATCAAAATATATCATTGAAGTGAATTCAGCTATTTATTAAAACAAGATTTGGAGGGCTGGACTGTCATGAGGGTGTTGTATTAATGATGTTCTAAATATTTGCCTTTATTATATCAATAATTGATTAGGTCTAGCTTAGCCTATATTATTGTTAATATTATATTATATTTATTTAACAATTAGTTTAAATAATTATTTATAATTAAAATATTAAATATATACAATATATATTATATAGGCCTGGGCATATACATAAAACAAAAAATAAACAAATAATAATAATAATAATAATAATAATGATTTTACGATAGTTTAATTAATGAAATAGTAATAATCAGCATATTAAATAAAATTAGGTCCATGCAAAACCTGCTTTTAAATAAAAACGTTATCTATTTGATTCTGTTAAAAAAATAATCTTATAAATTATAAGTTTATTTTCTGCGATAATTTTATGCACATATGCATATTCATGTTTTCAATGTTAATCTGATTGATAAATAATATATAAATATTAATAATAATAAAGGTGCTCGAATAATGCTTTAGTGAATAATTAATACTTCAATAATGCTTCAATAGGCCTATTTACGATAGTG